TGAGGTAATCATTTCCCTCAACCTTGGGGTCGATGTGGTCAGTCCATCAATTTTGAAAGGTTGAGAGTAAGACACATTGCAACTTTGGGTATCTTTATTGTAGAGTTTGCCATCCAGTGGGGTTTATCAATAAAAATTTCCCGGACATAACTTGGGAAAACAGTAGAAAAATATGTAAAAGAAGGGTGAGGGAAAACAGTCCCCCAACCTAGGAGTAGGGCGAAAAAGCCCATAGTCGAGGAGATTTTGAAGCAGAAGAAAGAATCCCCGGCGCCCTTTTATAGTAACGTCAGGTGAAGCAGGACGAGGGCAAATTTACTGGTTTGGGCGGGATTCCCCGTGGAAGTAGGGCCTTTTCCCCAAAAACACAACTTGTCAGACACTGCAACCATGGAATCTTAAAATTTTGGGGGACATTTTACATAACCTTCCAACTTCACTACAACTAACCCCTCTTTTTTGGGGAAAGGGGGTACTTCCACTGGGGAATCCCCCCCCAGTGAAATTGCCCTCGTCGCTTCACCTGACGTTACTATATAAGCGCCAGGATTCTTTCTTCGCTTCAGAAATCTCCCCGACTTTTGGGGCTGTTCCCCACCTATCCAAGGTTGAGGGACTGATTAACCCCATCCCTTCCCGACATAGTTCTTGTCTTTAAGTTTTGTCCCGGAATTTTTTATTGATAAAAACCAAATGGGGTGGCGAAAAAGGGCCCACAATAAAGAAAACCCAGATTTTTGCACATGTGGGCTTACTTCATCTTGTCGGTATTATATACCCTTTGTACACAACTTGTTTAGACACTGGGAAATCTTTTGGGAAACTTAATTCTGAGGGGCATGTACATAACCTTCACAACTACTACTACAACTAACCCATCTCTTTGGGGAAAGGGCCCCTTCCACTGGGGGAAACCCGCCCCCCCCAGTGATTTTTTCCCTCGTCTGCTTCACCGACGTTCTATATAACGCCAGGATTTTTTTCTTTTTGCTTTAGAATCTCCCCCGGGCTATGGTGGTTTCGCACCACTCCTATTGAGGGGGCTTTATTAAACCCCACTTTTTGTACATAGTTTTTTAAATGGGCTTCAAGTTTTGTCCTGGAATTTGTATTGGAAAAAAGCCCCCTGGATGGCGAAACGTCTACAATAAAGATTTCCCGATGTTTCCCCATGGGTCCCCTTTCTTTTTATCTTGTCGGGAATTTTATACCCTTTGTACACAACTTGTCAGACCTGCCCAAAATCAAAAGGAAACTTAAATTTGAGGACAGGGACATAACCTTTCACAAATTTCTACTACAACTAACCCATCTCCCTTTTGGGGAAAGGGCCTACTTCCACTGGGGTCCCGCCCCAGTGAAAAATTTCCCCCGTTACTTTACCTACTTACTATTAAGCGCCAGGGTTCTTTTCTTCTGCTTCAGAATCTCCTCGACTATGGTGCTGTTCGCACCTACTCCTAGGTTGAGGGACTGATTACCTCATCTTCTGTACATAGTTCTACTGTCTTCAAGTTATGTCCTGGAATTTGTATTGATAAAGCCACTGGATGGCGAAACGTCTACAATAAAGATACCCAGATGTTGCACATGTGTCTTACTCTCATCTTGTCGGTATTATATACCATTCGTACACAACTTGTCAGACACTGCAACATCATGGAATCTTAATTCTGAGGACATGTACATAACCTTCACAACTACTACTACAACTAACCCATCTCTTTGGGAAGGACCTACTTCCACTGGGGAATCCCGCCCACCAGTGAATTTGCCCTCGTCTGCTTCACCTGACGTTACTATATAAGCGCCAGGATTCTTTCTTCTGCTTCAGAATCTCCTCGACTATGGTGCTGTTCGCACCTACTCCTAGGTTGAGGGACTGATTACCTCATCTTCTGTACATAGTTCTACTGTCTTCAAGTTATGTCCTGGAATTTGTATTGATAAAGCCACTGGATGGCGAAACGTCTACAATAAAGATACCCAGATGTTGCACATGTGTCTTACTCTCATCTTGTCGGTATTATATACCATTCGTACACAATCTTGAATAGATTGATGGACTGACCACATCGACTCAAGGTTGAGGGACTGATTACCTCATTCTCCTCCTGTTCTTCAAGATTCTCCTTTGTATGGACTGATGAAGCCACTGTGTGGTGAAACGTTTCCTCAATAAAGATACCCAAGAGTTGCACATGTGTCTAATTTATCAACATGTCGGTTCTCTGAACCATTCATCTACAAACACTCGTTAATGGCTGACTAAGTTCCATCTTGCATTCCTTAAGTACCCTGGAAAACAATTCGTCGGGTCCCAGGGACTTATTTTGCTTCATTTTGTCTCTGTTTGATAACCATGTCCCTCCTGACAGTAATGTTAGTTAATTTGAATTCATCAGGAAGTGAATAATTGTTATTTTCTGGAATTTCATTCATGTCTTCCTGTGTAAAAACTGACAAAAAATAGTTATTAAATAGGTAACACATTTCCAGTTCGTTATCCGTCAGCTGTCCATTCCCAGTTTTCAGAAGTCCTACTTTTTCCTTCACCTTCGTCCTATACACTTGAAAGAAGCCCTTTGGATTGGTATTTGATTCACTAGCAACTCTAATTTCATAGTCACGTTTAGCCTTTCTAATCCCCCTTTTTACTTCTCTTTTAAACTGAACAGATTGGTCAGTAAGGTTAACCTCTCTTCTTTTGATGCGCCAATAAATTCTTTTTTCTCCCAATAAGTTCATCCCCTTTAAACCCCTTTGGGATCTTAATTAGCCCAAAATTTGTCCCCCTGGGGAATGTAATACTCTGGCGTGTTTTTACATTAAAAAAAATCATAAACAAGACCCCCTTGTAATCATAATATGATCATCGTAAAATAGAATCATTAGCTAGAAAACCCCCAATCGAGATTAGACAGGTTTCCCAATCCATTATAATCGGCAAACGAAAATCAGGGACTTTTCCCTTATTATAAATTATTCTTTATTCCCATTAAATCTAAAATGAGGGATTTGTGTCTTTGTGCCAACCCTTTTCTTCGATCTCCATATTATATAATAAAATATAAAATAAAATATATTTAAAATTTTAAAAAAAAATAAAATTATATATATATTATATATAATTTTTTTTTTTTTTTTTTTTTTTTTTTTTTTTTTTTTTTTTTTTTTTTTTTTTTTTTTTTTATCAACGGGCCGTTCCCACCAAGGCGGGGTGGCCCGAAAAAGAAAACTTTCCCCATCATTCACCCATCACTGTCTTCCCAGAAGGGTTTTTACCTCTTTTTTAAAACGCAACATTAACACCCCTCCTTATATATATATATATTATATTTATAATTTATATATATATATATAATTTAAATATATATATAAAATAAAGATTTAAGAATACTTTTTGATATAAAGGTGGCATATACGGACATGTTGTTACGTGTGATCACCGATTAAAAGGCGAAAATCCATCCACTCCCAGAGCTGGGCGTGTCCCCAAAAAATACAGCAGTCATTCCCCCTTTGAACACCCGCACTGAGCCGCGGAACAGAAATTAGCTCCGGGGATCCCTAGTTCCCCTGATGAGTTTTTTTTTCCCCGCCCCCTTGAGGAATTTAGTGCACTCTTTCCCCATGACCCAAAGGGGTCTCTGAGCCTAGGGGAACACACATAAATGATGGGCAAGTTCTCCCTATTTTCAGACTTTTGGGACTCCCCGAAGTGGCAGCTGCCCCTCCTTCTTTCCCCGGTGTATTGGGATGGTACACCAAGGTAGATCACAGTATAGTCCCCCCCCCCTGCTTCCCCTCTGTCCAGGGTTGAAGGGTGTACCATCTGGGCCCTTTGGCTGCCTCAGATCGTAGTTGGGGTGGCTCTTTACTGCTGGGATCCCCGCTTTTTGAGGCTCCCTTTTATAATGTTATTAACCTCCCATGTCTTGCAATCTTTCCTCGGATTTACGGCCCCACAAGACCTGGTACCCGAATCGGGGCTGCTGCTTTTCCCGCCCCAAAAAACCTGGTTCGGCGAGAATAGGGGCGGGAAGTCGAAGGCAACACGATGCGGGTGGTCTGTGGGGCGGGCGTGTGCCAAGGTGGAGTTGGAACAGCCAACAGAAAGTCCCCGCTGAGGGGCTCTCACTGCCGGAGGCGGGCTCATCCTTTCCCCACACACTCTGAAGCAAAGTTTTAGGGAATATTTCCACTATTGGACCATCCCAGTGGGGGATTTTTTGTAGTTGTTTTGGGGGACAGGGCTGGTTTTAGGCCCGTTAGATTATCCCTTCATTTCTCGTCAAGAATTTTTTGGGCCTGGACTCCAAACTTGTCCCTAAGAGTTCAGGGGGAAACGCTGCTACAAGCTTCTGGACAATACACAGGACAGAAAAGCAGGGAAAGAAACTGTGATGACTTGCGGACCCAAGCCTCCTAGTCTGACTGGAAGTGTAGCTTGGTTCCCCCCCGTCTTTTAGAGTAAGGTTTAAAATTTCGTAAAAATCGCCTCAAATACTGCAATTCGTGCAGTATAGGGTTATCTATGAAGGGGACATCTAAAATATGTCAAACCTGGGCAGACTCAAGCACTTTTTGAGAATACAAAGGATCGTGGGGGCCAGTTGCCTATTTGTTTTTTCCATTTTCCTTTAACTCTTCCAATTTCTTCTGAAATTTTGTCAATGGATTGCTTTCCCCGAGGGCTCCCCAGAAAAAAATATTTTGGGGGGCAATGACTGCTGCTCCCGGTAGTTTTGATCTCACTGCATTTATCACTTGTTGACTGACTGAGATGATTCACATTTGAATGGATTCAGGATGAGACCCATTTCTGTCCCCGTGTCATTACACTGTGTAAGGTCATATATATATATATAATATATATATATATATATATATATATATATATATATATATATATATATATATATATATATATATACATATATATATGTATATATATATATACACTTGTTTACGTTAGTATCTATACACATCATCTTCCATCGTTGTGTTACAATGATATCACTATACTGAAGATAGCTATTAATACGTACAAATAAAACATGACGTCTTACCTTGATTTACTGTCACCGCGAGCGCCACTGAAATAAAATTAAATGTATATGTAAGTAAATAGCATTGTGGAAAATGGAATTAAGAACTATTTTAACCTGCCTGCGACATTAGTTTTTCATACGCACCTCAAATTTGACACAGATCTTTTATAGTTGGAGGTATATAAGTAAAATATTTGCCACATTCTAATATGAAGTGTTTGTGAATCGGGTTCCTGATAAAGTTTAAAATGTGTATTAAGTAGGCTTTTGCCAGTGTAGTCTCGATGTATTTTTCCCAACCTTCAGTCTAGAAATAATTGCATTTCCTATCTTAATTACAGTTTTCTTATGTATCTCATTAACATGGGCAATGAATTTATTATAGGTACATCCCAGATCTAGATCTAGTGAGTGCGACAGTACTCTTACTTGATATGTTGTGTGTGTGTGTGTGTTGTAGTGTGTGATGTGTGTGTTAGTGTGTTTTGGTGTATTGATATATATTATATATATATATTAATATATATATATATATATCTATCTATAATATATATATTATTATATTATATATTATAATGGGCAATAAGATCATAAACAGGTGATTTCAGAATTGCAAACAACCACTCTGAAAGAATAGAGAATTCAAGCGTTTCGTGCTATCACATTATCAAGGATACTATAGTTCCTTGATGATGTGAGTAGTCGAAGCGTGTGGAATTTCTCTTGTCTGTCAGAGTGTGTTGTTTTGCATATATATATATATATATATTATATATATATATATTATATATATATATATATATATATATATAAATATATATATATATATATATATATATATATATGCAGTGTCTGACACTGCAACATCATGGAATCTTGGTTCAGAGGACATCTACAAGACCTTCTTCACGGCTGCTGCAACTAACCCATCTCTTTGGGAAGGGACCTACTTCCACTGGGGAATCCCGCCTACCAGTGACTGCCCTCGTCTGCTGCCCGTCCCTTCCACTGACGCCTATATAACCGCCAGTCTTCTTGCCTTTGCTCCAGATTCTCCTCCACCACGATGCTGTGAACACTAACTCCAAGGCCGAGGGACTGATTACCTCATCTTTTGTATATAGTTCTACTGTCTTCCTATTATGTCCTAGAATCTGTATTGATAAAGCCACTGGATGGCGAAACGTCTACAATAAAGATATCCAGATGTTGCACATATGTCTTAACTTTCATATTGTCGGTATTTTATACCTTTCTTGCACAAGTTGCCACTAATTTTTCAAACATGTTTGACAGAAAACTGGCTAAAATATCTACCAGCTCTTCAACTACTACTAGGAACCTGATACAAAAACCCAAGCATGATTCTGGCACAAGTGCAGGAATCTACACTATACCATGTGGGGAATGTGACAAAGTATATGTAGGGGAAACAGCCAGAACTCTGGACATTAGAATAGCAGAACACAAAATAATGCTTGCAGAAATGATGACCGCAAAAACGCATGTGTTCAACATTGAGACGATGTTGGACACCTCATGAAATTCAATGAAGCTAAACTAGTTATTAAAGAAGACGACTTAAGACGGGAAAATCCCATTAAAAGCTGCACTAATTTCTGTCAGTAACACTATAAAGCAAAAATCCGGTAGTTACAGTATTTCAAAATTACTAAGCAAGAGGATATTACCCATCCTGGGAACTGGTGTTACTTGATGCCAGCAGGTCCCTCTCTTGCCTCACCTCCTTAGTTCCATTATGCTCTACACTACTACTATCTACACTACTACTACTACTACTACTACTAACTACTACTACTACTACTCTCCCACCACCCCTCTACCCACGCGTCACCTCACCTGATCCTGCCACTATATTATAAATGTTTTTTTTAGTTTTCTCTGTATTAGGACTGAAGAAGCCATCGTGGCGAAACTTTTCCCTTTAATTTAAATGTCCTGAACTGTCCCATAAGTGTTTTTTTCCCACATATCTCCCTTGTTTATCCCCGTCATCCACTTATACACTTCAATGATATCTCCCTCATTCTACGCCTCCCAGAGAGTGGAGTTTTAAAGGGCTTTAAGTCTATCTTCTACGGAGGTTCCTTACACAGTAAATAATTTTAGTCATTCTTCTCTGTATGTTCTCTAATGAGTCTATATCCATCCTGTAGTAAGGGGACCAAAACTGAGCAGCATAATCTAAATGAGGCCTCACTAGTGATGTATAGAGCTGTAAAATAACTTTTGGACTTCTGTTACTTATACTTCTTGAGATAAATCCAAGTAATCTGTTGGCCTTGTTGCGCACACTAAGGCACTGCTGTCTTGGCTTTAGATTTCTGCTCACCATGACTCCCAAGTCCTTTTCACATTCTGTATGGTCAAGCTCTACTTCACCTAGATTATAGCTTCGAGGGTTATTTTCATTACCAAGGGCTAGTACCTTACACTTATCGTCGACAATGAACTTCATCTGCCATTTTTCAGACCAGGACATAAATTTGTTCAAATCCTCCTAGAGTTCATTGCTATCCTCCTCAGAGTGAATTATACGGCCTATCTTTGTATCATCAGCAAACTTACTCATGTCACTCGTAATCCCATCATCAAGGTCATTAATGTAAATTATGAACAAGAGAGGGCCTAAAACTGATCCTTGTGGAACGCCACTAGTGACTAATCCCCATTCAGATTTCACTCTGCTTTCTATTGGTAAGCCATGCCTCTATCCATGCTAGAACTTTACCTCCTATACCATGAGCTGCCACTTTTTTCAAGAGTCTCCTGTGAGGTACTCTATCGAAGGCTTTACTAAAATCCAAATAAACAATATCATATTCCTTATCACTGTCAGCAAGCTTGTCAGGCAGGAACTACCTCTCGTGAATCCATGCTGAGATTCATTTATCAAGTTATGCTCTTCAAGGTGACTTCTAATAATGTCAGCTATAATTGATTCTAGTAACTTGCCCACTATAGATGTCAGGCTTATTGGACGGTGATTTGAAGGAACGGACTTATCCCCTGATTTGAATATAGGAACCACATTAGCCATCTTCCACAACTGGCACAACACTGGTAAGGATGGATGCATTGAACACACTCGTTAATGGCTGACTAAGCTCCATCTTGCATTCCTTAAGTACCCTGGAAAACAACTCATCGGGTCCCGGGGACTTATTTTGCTTCAGTTTGTCTATCTGTTTAATAACCATGTCCCTCGTGACAGTAATATTAGTTAATTTAAATTCATCAGGAACTAAGTAATTGTTAATTACTGGAATCTCATTTACATCTTCCTGTGTAAAAACTGACAAAAAATAGTCATTAAATAATGAACACATTTCCAGTTCGTTATCCATCAGCTCTCCATTCCTAATTTTCAGAGGTCCTACTTTTTCCTTCACTTTCGTCTTATACACTTGAAAGAACCCCTTTGGATTAGTCTTTGATTCACTAGCAACTCTAATTTCATAGTCACGTTTAGCCTTTCTAATCCCCCCTTTTACTTCTCTTTTAAGCTGAACATATTGGTCAGTAAGGTTAACCTCTCCTCTTCTGATGCGCCTATAAATTCCTCTTTTCTCCCCTAATAGATGCTTTAACCTACGGTTAACCCATTTGGGATCGTTATTATTGGACCTAATATCTCTCTGGGGAATGTATATACTCTGGGCACGGTGTACATTATTAAGAAAAAATCATAAAAGCAGATCCCTTCATAATCATATGATCATCGTCAATAAAATCATTAGCTAGATAACCCCAATCAAGATTAGACAGACGTTCCCTAAGTCCATTATAGTCGGCAGAACGGAAATCAGAGATTTTTACTGTATTATCATTATTCTTGCATTCCCAGTTAATGCTAAAAGTGATGGATTTGTGATCACTTGCACCAAGCTCTTCAGTGATCTCCAGGTTATTCACGAGTGTTTCCTTATTTGACAAGACTAGGTCTAGCAAATTATTACCCCTGGTAGGCTCTGTTACGCTCTGCTTCAGAAAACAGTCCTGAACTGTTTCCATAAAGTCACTGGACTCTAGATTACCTGTCAAAGAATTCCAGTCAATTTGACTAAAGTTAAAGTTCCCTACTATGACTATGTTATTGTGTCTAGAAGCCCTAACAATTTCGTCCCAAAGAAGTCTCCCTCTATCATGATCCAAGCCTGGAGGTCGGTATATTACACCTAGAATTATTTTTTCTTGACCCTCTACAAACTCGACCCAAACAGATTCTGTTGCTGCTCCATCTATTTTTATACCTGTTTTTATGCAACAATTAATATTTTCTCGAACAGATAATGCAACTCCTCCCCCCTTCCCATTACATCTATCCACATTGAACAACTTAAATCCCTGAATATTACACTCAGCAGTCATATCCCCGACTCTTTAAATCATACCATGCTTCAGTTAATGCAGTGACATCAAAGTTCCCAGCACATGCTACCAAACGTAGTTCTTTAGTTTTATTTCTTGCAATTCGACTGTTAGCATAAAATACCATCATATGTTTTTTCTTCTGCACATTTTTCCTATTGATCTTTGTTTTTACACAATTTCTGAAATTATCGTTACCCAGAGTTACTCCATGACAGTTACTATTAAGATTCTTAATATCAGAGCATAAGTCAATATATCCATGCTCATTATTTATCATTTCTAAACCCATACCTCTAACTAATCCTAGTTTAAAGTCCTAACAACCCCCTCAACTGAGTTAGCAAGAAAACCCACACCTGCCCTGGATAAGTGAACCCCATCCCTGGCATACATGTCATTTTGGCCATAGAAGTTGTCCCAGTTGTCAATGAATGGTACTGCATTATCCTTACAGTGTTTATCCAGCCAACAATTAATACCAATTGCTCTGGACAATCATTTATTTCCAACACCTCTTCTTGGCAAAATGCCACATATAACAGGGCGCCCCCCCCTTCTTCCTGATTATGTCTATAGCTGTCCTGAACTTTCTAACTAAATCCTCACTTCTACGCTTGCCTACATCATTGCCTCCAGCACTGAGGCAAATAATAGGATTGATCCCATTACCGTTCATGATGTTGTCAAGCCGGCTAACAATGTCCTCCATCCCAGCCCCAGGAAAGCAAACCCTCTGTCTCCTACTTCTGTCCTTCAAGCAGAATGCCCTATCCATGTATCTAACCTGGCTATCCCCAACAACAACAATATTCTTACCTTCCTTGTTGTCGTTTGTCGTGACGATCCAAGTAGTCGACTCACATTCGTCGGGTAGCACCGATAATGCGTTGGAGGTTTCCACAAGAGTTTCCACAGCAGTCTCTTTCTTTTTCATCGTTTCTGGCTTTTCATTCGTCTTCTTGATCATCAACTTCGTCCCCTGCTGTCCAACCACTGACCACGATCCCTTCTTGACCTGAGGACTTGAAACAGGAGGACTACTACGAATCCTCTTGTTTTCCTCAGTCAATTGCCGTATCTTCGTCTTCGCTACCCTCAATTCTTCCTTAAGCTGCTGGTAAAGTTGCTCGATGGAGGGCATCTTAGTTCAGTCCACGGGAGCACACAAGACACTTCTTCACAGGAGCACACAAGACACTTCTTCACTTCATAAAAAGCAGTTTTGACAATAATATGAATATTTCCTTTGGTTTATATAACTTAGATCTATTTATAATTAATAGAATTTGGGAATAATTTAATACATTGGACAAATAATAAATTTTAAAGTTCTTAATTCTTGGGTAGAATAGTTTGTGGGTTGTGTGAAGGACCTGTCTAGTTGGGCCAGTGGGCCTACTGCAGTGTTCTCTTTCTTATGAGTCACGCGTCAGGTGTTAGTGATAGTGAGGTGTGGGCTAGACCCTTTATATGCCTTCCTCTGATGCATTACTTTTATTGTTCCTTGCTAATGCGAGTAATCACGAAAGCGCTTGGAATTTCTCTATTCTTTCAGTGGTTGTTTTGCATTTATATATATATATATTATTATAATATATATATATATATATATATATATATATATATATATATATATATATATATATAATATATATATATATGTGTGTGTGTGTATGTGTGTATGTGTGTTGTACTCACCTAGTTGTACTCACCTAGTTGAGGTTGCGGGGGTCGAGTCGAGTGTGTGTGTGTGTGTGTGTGTGTGTGTGTGTGTGTGTGTATGTGTGTGTATGTGTGCGTGTGTGTGTGTGTGTGTATGTGTGCGTGTGTGTGGTAGTGTGTGTGTGTGTGTGTATACTCACCTAGTTGTACTCACCTAGTTGAGGTTGCAGGGGTCGAGTCCGAGCTCCTGGCCCCGCCTCTTCACTGATCGCTACTAGGTCACTCTCCCTGAACCGTGAGCTTTATCATACCTCTGCTTAAAGCTATGTATGGATCCTGCCTCCACTACATCGCTTCCCAAACTATTCCACTTATTGACTACTCTGTGGATGAAGAAATACTTCCTAACATCCCTGTGATTCATCTGTGTCTTCAACTTCCAACTGTGTCCCCTTGTTACTGTGTCCAATCTCTGGAACATCCTGTCTTTGTCCACCTTGTCAATTCCTCTCAGTATTTTGTATGTCGTTATCATGTCCCCCCTATCTCTCCTGTCCTCCAGTGTCGTCAGGTTGATTTCCCTTAACTTGTGTGTGTGTGTGTGTGTGTGTGTGTGTGTGTGTGTGTGTGTGTGTGTGTGTGTGTGTGTGTGTGTGTGTGTGTGTGTGTGTGTGTGTGTGTGTGTGTGTGTGTGTGCGTGCGTGTGTGCGTGCGTGTGTGCGTGCGTGCGTGTGCGTGCGTGCGTGTGCGTGCGTGTGTGTGGGTGTGTGCGTGTGTGTATGTGTGCATGTGTGTGTGTATATATGTCTGTGTGTATATGTGTGTGTGTGTATATGTACTCACCTATATGTGATTGCAGGGGTCGAGTCATAGCTCCTAGCTTCGCCTCTTCACTGGTCGATACTAATTCACTCTCTCCCTGCTCCATGATATTTGTCATACCTCTTCTTAAAGCTATTTATGGAACTTGCTTCCACTACTTCACTCTCCAGATTATTCCAGTTCCTGACAACTCTAAAACTAAAGAAATACTTCCTAACATCCCTATGACTCATCTGGGTTTTCAGTTTCCAATTGTGTCCCCGTGTTTCTGTATCCCATCTCTGAAACATTCGATCCTTGTCCACGTTGTCAATGCCTCTTAGTATTTTATACGTTGTTATCATGTCCCCTCTATCCCTCCTATCCTCTAGTGTCATCAGGTTGAGTTCCCTTAACCTCTCCTCATAAGACATACCCCTCAGTTCCAGGACTAATCGTGTTGCAAATTTTTGCACTTTTTCCAATTTCTTGACGTGTTTGACTAAGTGAGGGTTCCATACTGGCGCTGCATATTCCAGTATAGGCCTTACGTACACTGTGTACAATGTCGTGAATGACATTGTATTCAGATGTCTAAACGCCAATCTCAGGTTTGCCAATCTCCCATATGCTGCAGCAGTTGTTTGATGTGTGCCTCAGGGGACATGTTCGTTATGATGCTTACCCCAAGATCCTTTTCTTTAACTGACGTTTGCAGCTGTTGATTTCCTAACCTGTACTCCGTCTGCGGTCTTCCGTGTCCTTCCCCAATCTTCATGACCTTACACTTACTGGGGTTAAACTTCAGGAGCCATTTGTCGGACCATACTTGTAGTTTGTCTAGATCCCCTTGTAATCTTAACTGATCCTCTCCCACTTGTATTCTCCTCATCAGTTTCACATCATCAGCGAACAGTAACACTTCTGAATCTATTCCTTTCACCATGTCATTCACGTATACAAGAAACAGCACCGGGCCTAGGACTGACCCTTGTGGAACCCCACTCGACACATTCGCCCACTCCGACACTTCAGCACGTACCAACACACGTTGTTTCCTTCCTGTCAGGTATTCCCTGATCCATTGCAGTACTTTCCCCTCTAATTTTTGCACTAGTCTCTTGTGTTATCTTATCGTAGAACTCAAGTAAATTTGTGACAAAGGATTTCCCATCTCTGAAGCCGTGCTGACTGTCATGTATGAGCCCAATCTTTTCAATGTGTTCCACTACTTTTCTTCTGATAATCTTTTCCATGACTTTACATACTATACAAGTCAGTGACACTGGTCTGTAGTTTAATGCTACCTGTGTGTATTGTCTGTTGTGTATATATATGTGTGTGTGTATGTATAGTGGTGTTTCAATATTACTACTTTGTCTGTGTGTGTATGTTATGTGTATGGTCTGTATAGTTGTGTGGTGTGTATGTATGTGTGGTAGTATATAATAATATGCCTGGGTGACTCACGTGTATCTGTGACTTCACCACATGTATTGGCTGCTGGTGTGACCAGTGTGCTCCTGCCTGACTCGTGTAAAAGTTGTCTACGAGGACCACTATCCTCCACGTGTCGCATGACTTTATAATCAGTTTTATGTGGCTTATTAACTAAGTGTGTTTATGTTGCTGCGTATTACTACGTGTGTTTATTAGTGGTATTAACCGGGCGTGGGCTTGACAACTCCAGTATACGGCGTTATATAGGGTACTGTCACATGATATACTAGTGGATACATGCTGGTGAGCTACGCAGATTTATCATTGACTCTTAGAAGTTCTCTGGTTTGAACGGGGATAAGATAACCTGCAAACTAGAAGCGTAGAACAAATGTATTATTATTATTATTATTATTATTATTATTATTATTATTATTATTATTATCAGGGAAAAACTAAACACATTAAGGTCACAATATATAGGAATGAGAGACAATTAGGTTCGATCCCCCCCCCCCCCCAAAAAAAAAATAAAAGAAATATCCTCGCCAACATCAAGACGCCTGTCTTGAGGGGAACATTCACTCTCACTTTATGCCAGGCATCAAATTTTGATTAAACTTATAGGGAATATATTGCCTGCATACCTTTAATACTGTTATATTAAATAGTAGCACCTGGGTCATGTTTCTTCGTGACTCAGCTTTTAAGTATTTTTACTAGGCAAATTAGGTACGTACAGTGTATATGCGCTGATTCTGTGCAATATTGCTTTCACTCGGTACGGGTTCAGCACTTTTCCTTGTGTGTAATAACAATATTATCACTTAAAGTCGTGTAAGTTACATGTAACAGATTTTGGGGGCTTCCCCTTCGCGGCCTTATTCAAGAAAGGCCTCTTCATTAATAAGGCAATCAAAGATTGTTATATAAATTAAAAAGTATAATACAGATAATGACCTAAGAGAGAATTTTGTATGATCATCAGACTAGATAATCGCTCCATTAACATATGACTACCTACATTTCTACTAATTAAAATATGGCTTTCATTTATTAAGTTAGATATTTAATAAATTGAAACAACTAAATGTAACACTTTACACAGGAAGTTTAGGGTTTTTGTCTTTGGTCTTTGGGGGATACAACTTACTTGAATTCCCTTATGCTAATTGTAAGGATCTGTGAGTAGACATCGAAGGGTTCGGTTGCCTATTATGAAAGTACTTACTGTGTGTACTCACCTAGTTGTGGTTGCAGGGGTCGATTCATAGCTCCTGCCCCCGCCTCTTGACTGGTCGCTACTGTGTACTCACCTAATTGTGGTTGCAGGGGTCGAGACTCAGCTCCTGGTCCCGCCTCTTCACTGAGTGCTTACTAGGTCCTCTCTCTCCCTGCTCCATGAGCTTTATCATACCTCATCTTAAAGCTATGTATGGTTCCTGCCTCCACTACCTCACTTGCTAGGCTGTTCCACTTCCTGATTACTCTATGACTGAAGAAATACTTCCTAACATCCCTTTGACTCATCTGGGTCTTCAGCTTCCAATTATGACGCCTTGTTTGTGTGTCCCCTCTCTGGAACATCCTGTCTCTGTCCACCTTGACTATTCCATGCAGTATTTTCTATGTCGTTATCATGTCTCCCCTAACCCTCCTGTCCTCCAGTGTCGTCAGCCCGATTTCCCTCAACCTTTCTTCATAGGACATTCCCCTTAGCTCTGGAACTAACCTTGTCGCAAACCTTTGCACGTTCTCTAATTTCTTGACGTGCTTGATCAAATGTGGGTTCCAAACAGGTGCTGCATACTCCAGTATTGGCCTGACGTACACGGTGTACAGTGTCTTGAACGATTCCTTACTGAGGTATCGGAACGCTGTTCTCAGGTTTGCCAGGCGTCCATATGTTGCAGCAGTTATCTGGTTGATGTGTGCTCCGGAGACGTGCTCGGTGTTATACTCACCCCAAGATCTTTCTCCTTGAGCGAGGTTTGCAGTCTTTGGCCACCTAGCCTATACTCCGTCTGCGGTCTTCTTTGCCCTTCCCTGATCTTCATGACTTTGCATTTGGCGGGGTTAAATTCGAGAAGCCAGTTGCTGGACCAGGTGTCCAGCCTGTCCAGGTCTCTTTGAAGTCCTGCCTGATCCTCATCTGATTTAATTCTCCTCATTAACTTCACATCATCTGCGAACAGGGACACTTCTGAGTCTAACCCTTCCATCATGTCGTTCACATATACCAAAAACAGCACTGGTCCTAGGACCAGTGTGTGTGGGCGTGTGTGTGTATGGCTTTTGCTTGTGTTTGAGTAATTAATTTGCAGGCGAGTGTAAATTTTTGCTTACTAAGTAGTGTTGAATGACCTTTTGGTCCCAGAGCTGAGGACATTTTATATACTCATCTCACATTTCTAAGACCCCCCTCCATAATTCCTCATCCCCTACACTCGTCAGTGCCTCCTACATCTTTTCATTCCTTGAACACTTCTTACATTCGGATAGTGCTAGACACTTTGCTGTATCAATCAATGCATGATAAAACAGTCCAACATTAACTATAAATGAGGCTGTCACTTCTTGATCAATAATAAGCACAACACAAACGTGCCACACAACAAGAGGTACGTAAAGTCTCGTCTACCGAGAATGAAAGCCAGAG